AAGAAAATTAGGTAAATATATTTATTTATTCTCTACTTTTTTATTACAAAATGTGTGTAAATCTTTCAAATCCTAGTATAATCAGTTTCGAAATATTCATATAAAATATAAAACATTAATAAAAGTAGAATTACTATAAAAAGTATGAATTGAAGTATATTTATAATACTTGTGGCAGCGACTTTGTTTTATACTGCACCAGCTACTAGCCCCGGCTACGCCCGGGTGTACATGTATTACACATATAAACCTTCCTTCAGAATTACTCTATCTATTAAAAAAAACCGCTTCAAAATCCGTTGCGTAGTTTTAAAGATTTAAGCATATATAATGACGGACAGACAGCGATCGTGACTTTGTTTTATACGATGTAATAAGGTGAGTGATAAAAATTCTTTATAATCGGTACAACCGCAAGCGTTTACAAATCCGCTCATCGCTCGCAGTAGCACCATACCCGCCCTAATAGTATATCATTATACGTTACGGTTTGGCAATCCGAAATAGAAACGTGATAGGTGAAGGGCTAAGTAGTTAAAGTACAATGGCGAGTAGAACAAATGGCTTACTGCCTTCATTATGGTCATTGTTGGCCCTTTCAATGCTACGTTATTGCATACTAGACATAAAAATAACAAATGTCCGAATGTACTTTGATAGACATTACATCATAACGATGCATTACTTACTGTATTAGTTATTGCAGTAATGTTATTTACATTACTAATACTTGTAGATATAGATCTAACCTGATATAATTAGGTCGCGGATTCGATTCCTCGCAAACATTTGTATTCATGAATATGATTGTTTAAATTTTCTGGGTGTTTTCTATGGAGATTTACAAAAAAATCTAAATATTCTGAGGAATTGTTCGACATGATGCCGACGGCCACCTTTTACCATCGCACCGCCCGCCGTCGACAGGGAATTCATCCCCACACGCTGGAACCTAAGTGGTCCCACTTAGATTGTGGAATGAACTACCTGCCGAGGTTTTCTCACGAGATTACAGCATGGGGTTCTTCAAGAAGGGTATATTAAGGTTTCTTAATGATCGGCAACGCGCACGTGATACCACTGGTTTCAGGCTTTCATAGGCTACTGTAACCATTTACCATCACATGGGCCGTATGGTTGATTGTCACCATCGTTGTACAAAAAAAAAACGGCCATTTACCATCAGATAGACTGTCAGTTGCTTTGCTAATCGAAAAAAACTATAAACATAAATATATACTCATTTCCGAACACAGCAATTTTATAATCGTAAGTGAAAGTCTTCGAAATTTTGATTATCTTACTCAGTTTACATCATTAATGGCAGCCATCGGAAAGATCATTATTTATACTTAAAATTAAGAGTCACAGCATCCGGCGGTACAGGTCATGGCGGTTGAAACACTGCCGAAAAATCGGAGACTCAATAAAAATAAATAAAACATGGCAAGATACCGTGATTTTTCTAAATTTTACATATCAGACGGTAATTGCCGCCGCTTCCCTAAAAATATCTTTCCCTTTAAAATCGGTGGTAATAGATAACCGTTTTAAAAAGTAAGTACTAAGAATATATGTAGCGTTATAAATCCGTTATTGTTTTAAATATGACACATGATGTCCATTGCAACATGAACTCTATGTAGTTACGAAATGTGTTCATTGTTTCAAAGTTTCAGTAAGCGAAAAGCTCTCGTTATGATGGTCACAAGATGCACACTCAGCATCTATCAAACATATCAATCGTATACGCAATCAAAGGCCAATTATTTTGAAGTGCCGCACACACTGACTGTTTCACACTGACAGCATTTAACGTCTAATAAAATAGAATATAACAGACGCGGAAAAAAAACTTTGACCCTTAGAAAAAATACAATTTACTAAGATATCTCACTAATTATAAACGCGTAAGTTTGTCAGTATAGATGGATATTTGTTACTCTTTCACGCAATAACTGCTAAATTGATTTTGATGAAATTTTACAATAATATAGCTTATACATCAGAACATGTGTAGGCTATAAAGTCAGTCTAATTTCTCTAAGTCCAGTTTTTTTTAAATTTTAATCGTATCTCATTTTTCAAACCGAAAAACATCTAGCAACACAAACTGTGAGCAGCAGATTTAGATTTATACTCTGCTTGAGTAGAAAATAATCTATGCATATAAATAAAACTGGAGTGTCTATTTGTAATACCGAAACAACCGTTTTTTACTACATGCATGCATATGAATATAAATACGGTACATATACCAAAATAACATTTATTACAATTTTTGTATGTCTGTTTGTTCCGGCTAATCTCGGAAATGGCTGGACTGATTTTGACGGGACTAATTTTGTCAGTAGCTGATGTACTAAGGAGTAACTTAGGGTACTTTTATTTTAGGAAAATTCTTTTATTTTAGACAAATAAAGTTAAATTCCACGCGGACGCGCTAGTAGAAAATAAAATCGCGTCGCGTCGCAATGTCCGTTCAGTGTGAATTTGCCTCGCTATAGTTAGTCATTAACATGTCAGTCTCATGATTAGTGGATTGTGGGAGTCACTTATTAATTTCTTTGTTCCATTGATTGATAGGCCCTCTGGAATGTTCGGTCGGACAATTGTTAAGTTGGTGGCTAATAGTGATAACATCGCTGTTACTCAAGTGATTTTAAGTGAGAATGAACCAATTAAAATCATTTCAAACGAGATTGTGAAGTTTTAATATTTCAAAGTAATTGATATTTTATTTGGTTCCCTTTAATTTCTTTTGGTCCTTTTAACTGATGGTCGTCCATGTTTTATTCATTCCGTTCGAATGTATGTACGCTGTTTTTAATTATTATATATATATAGCTGTCCCAGCAAACGTTGTTTTGCCTTAAAATAAAAAAAAAATTAGGGTTGGACTACCCCTAACATTTAGGGGGATGAAAAATAGATGTTGGCCGATTCTCAGACCTACTCAATACGTTCACAAAATTTCATGAGAATCGGTCAAGCCGTTTCGGAGGAGTATGGGAACGAAAACTGTGACACGAGAATTTTATATATAAGATTATATGTGTTAATATGTTTATTTATGTATATTTGTGGACATATATATTTATTTTTATTTATTACTAGCTGCACCCGCGACTTCGTCCGCGTGGAATTTCACTTTATTTTTCTAAAATAAAAGTAGCCTAAGTTACTTCTTATTACATCAGCTACCTGCCAAAAAAGTCCCGTCGAAATCGGTCCAGCCATTTCAGAGATTAGCCGGAACAAACGGACAGACAGACACAAAAATTCTAGAAAATGTTATTTTGGTGTATGTACCGTGGTATATTCATATGCATATAGTAAAAAAACGGTTATTTCAATATTACAAACAGACACTTCAGAAAAATAGATAACAGCCGATTCTCAGTCCTACACATATAGAATTTTATAAAAATCAGTCAAGCCGTTTCGTAGGAGTATGGTAACTGACATTGTGACATGAGAATACTAAAGATTACTTAAATGGAATCCAGGGGTTGTTCAGGATTGGTAAATATTTCTCACAATCCTAGTGTGGATAGCCTTTGACTGAAACATAAAGCACTCAAAGCCAAGTGCCATGTGGTTCGGTGCTCTCAGTGCTGCCTCTTTGTATTAGAGATGTGTCAACTCGAGTTAACTCGAGTTGCGGTGAATTCGAGTTAACTCGAGTTGAATTCTGCCAACTCGAGTTGGAAGTATTCAACTGGTAAATGAACGAATCAAGTGAAAGAGCGAGAGCATGAGTCTGTCGTTGAACTGACACTGACATGAAATTTTCCGATCATTTCATATCGTACAATTTTCACTTGTTTTCAGTATTGATTTGAGGTCGTTATCATTTTTTTTTTCGTATATTCGTCCGATTATGTTACCATTAAAATGATTATGCGTTCTATTAGTCCTTCCGCGGCTTTGAAGTGCGATTTCTACTCGCCTCCTACGATTCGGTGAGCTTTCAAAGCTAGCTGCGGCCAAAAACATTAGATTTGTTCGAAAAATTAAAAAAAAACCGTTTATTCCAGCTAACTCGAGTCAACTCGAGTTACCTGAATATATTTTGTTTATTTATTTGAATATAAACAAATAAATAAACAAATATATATATATATATATATATATGAAAATGTATAAAAATACTAATATACTTGTCTAGAATATATAACTTTATGGATTACATACAAATAAGTATTTTCTATATAGTCGACGGTTTGTCTAGCGGTTTGGCACATTGCTTTATTTTCGTCTAGCCGTACCCGAAGATTCATACGTGTTAAATCTAAATATATAAGAGCTGAGTTTCTTGTCAGTTCTTCTCATCTCGATATCATTCCGAACTGACGGTAGATTTGACATATCATAAGAGTCTGTAATAGACCTACATGAATAAAGATATTTTGAATTGAATTGAATATATAACTCAAAGGTGACTGACGTAGTGATCTATCAACGCACAGCCCAAACCACTGGACGGATCGGGCTGAAATTTGGCATGCAGGTAGATGTTATGACGTAGGCATCCGCTAAGAAAGCATTTTGATTGATTCTACCCCCAAAGGGATAAACAGGGGATGAAAGTTTACATGAAACTTTGTCATTTTTTGTAAGGGGATTTTTAGTAATGTGGGTTCATGACCCCATTGCTAGCAATGTATTACGTCAGGTTGACCTCCACGCGGTTCCCCCTGGAAACCATCGTGATAAATGCCTGGTGAATTTATCACGATGGGCTAACTAACCTGACCTCGTGCTCTTATCATCCTCCACTGGTGCCCCGCCAGCGTAAACCGTTAGCGCATTATTAATTATAAAATAGTCAACTGAAGTGTACTATACTGCATATTTTTGGTATCCGCGCTCCCAGCCTCCAAGATACAGGTCTGACTTAGTTTGGGGACTACAGATAATAGAAATATATAAAAAAAAAATATTGTAGTAAATATGTAAATGTAAGTCTATATAAATAAATAAATAAAGTTACTTACAAGTCCGGTTCAACATCCGTGTAGTGCCCATCAGCATCGACCAGGCCCACCCTGATGGTGGGCAGGCTGTCGTCCTCATCGTCTTCCACTTCGCCCCTTGCTTCTCTCGCCTCCTTTTCTGCCAAGGCTTTCGCTGCTATTAACTGTGGAATAATATTATTATTATATTTATTTCTTTTCACAGTTAAGGAGGGTAACAAATTGGATGGTGGAAAGAGAGATGACACCCTAAAACAATATGGATGGATTGTGTGAAAGATTATATGAATAGAAGGAGAGTGTTAAAACAATAAGGTCCTAAGGGTACTATAAATGTGTCAACTCGAGTTACTAACTCGAGTAAACTCGAGTTGTGCATAATTCGAGTTAACTCGAGATGAATTCTGCCAACTCGAGTTGGAAGTATTCAACTGGTAAATGAACGAATCAAGTGAAAGAGCGAGAGCATGAGTCTGTCGTTGAACTGACGATGACATGAAATTTTCCAATCATTTCATATCATACAATTTTCACTCGTTTTCTGTATTGATTTGAGGTTGTTATTATTTTTTTTTCGTATATTCGTCCGGTTATGTTATCATTAAAATGATTATGCGTTCTGTAAGTCCTTCTGCGGCTTTAAAGTGCCATTTCTACTCGCCTCCTATAGTTCGGTGAAGCTTTCAAGGCTAGCTGCGCCCAAAAAAATTAGAATTGTTTGAAATAATCATGTTTATTACGAGTTAACACATCTCTAGTATATAAGGTTTATTGGTCAGTTTCAATTACAGGTATAACAAATGTTTTTTTTTTCGAACTACTCTAATGCTGTTGGCCGTAGCTGGCCTTTACAGCTTCACCGGACGTTATGGGGCGAGTGCAGATGGCACTCCAAACCCGCGGAAGGACTTATGGAGCGGCTGAAGGCCAACTCCCGCCCGACGGATAAGATAACAAATGTTATAAAGTAAAATAGATATGAAAAAATAGCGCGTTTTAATTTTGTTACAGCGCCATCTATTGGCGTTGCACGCAAACACTAATGTTTTATTGATTACAACTTATTTAAACTCTAACAGAGAGTATGCTCAGATCTGACGGCCGATAGAGAGATTGGAAGAGAATGACTTACTGCGCCGACCACAAATAATGGGATGAAGGCAAGGCAATGATGATGAATTAATGAGGTAAAGAAGTTCATATATACGGGTTTACTTTTGATTCTAATACCAATCCAGATTTTAAAATTTCTTCGGACACAATTGCTTAGATAATTTTTTTTTGTAAATACATACATAATATAGATAGACTGCATGTCTTACAGTTGCGTTAAACGTACTGGTTTTAGGCACTGTTTAAGAAATACTGTTGGTGTTATGTTATGTAAGACATACTATAAAATACAAAAATATGCCGTAATATATAAATGTGCCGTGCGAGGAATCGAACCCGCGACCATTGGAAGGTGTCCTTTACCGCAGACCACGGAGTTTTATCATTATTTCGAGATCCGAATCCTTAATGAAGATAAAACGGAAAAGGTATTTCATTGGCGTGGAATACTATTTATCTATAGATATAAATAAAATTGGAGTGTCTGTTTGTAATATTGAAATAACCGTTTTTTATTACATGCATATCAATATAAATACGGTACATAAACCAAAATAACAAGTTTTACAACTTTTGTCTGTCTGTCTGAGTTTTTGTTCCGGCTAATCTCTGAAAAGGCAGGACCGATTTTGACGGGGCTTTTTTTGGCAGGTAGCTGATGTAGTAAGGAGTAACTTAGACTACTTTTATTTTAGAAAAAATCTTTGATTCTAGAAAAATAATGTTAAATTCCATGCGGAAGTCATAAAACACCCAGACCGATACAAACAATCATAATCATGAATACAAACGTTTGTGTCGTGCGAGGAATCGAACCCGCGACCATTCGAAGGTGTCCTTTACCACTGAGTTTAATCACTATTTCGAGATCCGTATCCTTAATGAAGATGAAACGGGAAAGGTATTTCTCTGGCGTGGAATATTTATTTTAACTATGAATGCCACGAGTCTTTGTGCTACCGACGTACATTATTCGCAGCTCACTGTGAAATGTACAATATGTCCGGGCATTTTAATTACAAAATGCTTTTGTACAGTCCATATTGAGGTATGTACCCATAATTATCTGTGCATTGTTGAATAACTTTATTGTTGACTAGCGGTGCCTCTTGTGATATGTATAGATTTTTTAGTTTAAGTAACTTAATTGTGAAATGAAATGGGAAGATGAGTTGAAGTCAACTGTGGGCACAAAATGGAGAAGAGTTGCACAGGATAGGAGTCAATGGAAGTCGCTAGAGGAGGCCTATGCCAAAAGGCACAATGAAATTAGAGACACATTAAAAAAAAAAAAAATTGTATACTATCTACTACTAGCCAGAGGTGCTTGAACCGCGATCGAAACAAAAGTTTATGACATTGTAATAAAGTTTCATCATTCCACTGCTGGACATCAGCCCACTTCAGTCCACTGCTGGACATACATCATCATCAGCCCACTAATAAAGTTTAACACAGATATTCCCAAAGTGGTCTATATCGACCCCAGGGGTCTATGACAAACTGCCCTCCATTTTTACCTGGTATTGATTTTTTGTAAATTTCTAACTGTAATGAAGTTTAGTGTTACAAAACATAAAGTGAAAACAAGATGACCCCTTATCTTGTTTTCACTTTATGTTTTCAATAAATCAATACCAGGTAAAAATGGGGGGTCTACCCAAAACCGAAAAATATGGCAAGGGGTCTACGACACAAAAGAGTTTGGGAACCTCTGGTTTAAAATAATAAAATCACCTGTAGCCGTCGCTGGGCCTGCGGAGTTATCTCCACCACGCGCGACCATCTGCGAGATTTCCTCTCGTACTGCCATTTGTCGCTCAGCGCGCACTGGTCATCATCAGAGTCGTTCTGTGGACAAGAATATATCATTATTACATACAATTATCCAAATTTATCGTATCATCATTATCATTACATAGTATAAAACAAAGTCGCTGTCGCTGTCTATCCGTCTCTATGCTTAAATCTTCAAAACTACGTAACGGATTTTGAAGCGGTTATTTAATAGATAGAGTGATTCAAGAGGATTTTTATGTTTTAGAGGAGGTTTATATATTTGTATAATACAAGTACACGCGTGCGAAGTCGGGGCGAGTGTTGATATCATCATTAGTATAAAACAAAGTCGCTGTCGCTTTCTGTCCCTATGTTTGTTCATTTTAGTCGCTTATGAACGTCAAGTTTTTTACATTATAATTTTTTCCCTACCTTTGCTTAAATCTTTAAAACTACACAACGGATTTTGAAGCGGTTTTTTTAATAGATAGAGTGATTCAAGAGGAAGGTTTATATGTATAATACATGTACACTCATACGAAGCCGGGGCGAGTAGTTAGTTACATAGTATAAAACAAAGTCTCTGTCGCTGCCTGTCCCTATGTATGCTTAAATCTTTAAAACTACGCAACGGATTTTGAAGCGGTTTGTTTAATAGATAGAGTGATTCAAGAGGAAGGTTTATATGTATAATACATGTGAACCCGTAGTAATTAATAAACTATTTTACAAACAAAGTAACATCCGTACATCAACAACTAGTGTAACACGTTTCGATTATTAATGTCGTATAAGTGACGTGAAAGCGGAGACGTCTGCTGTCCCAGCTCTAAAGAGCCTTTAGAGATCTGCCTCCCAACTCCCAGCCTCCAGCCTCCACACAATAAAGCGGCGCTGTAACAATATCATCTGTCTCGAGAATCGTTTCCACCATTGTCCATAAAGCGACTGATGAACTATTTTCTTGTTATATCTTTTATTTATAGAAAAACTTACGGTCCATAGGGCTGACAATGTTATCGCATGCCTGTTACTTGTTATTGAATAATTATTTATATAAAAACATCTATTCAAAAATGCTTGTAATGAGTTTATTTGAAGAAAGGTCATTTCTATTTCTATTTTATGGGTAAATTAGATATCATCATTACATAGTATAAAACAAATTCGCTGTCTGTCCGTCCCTATGTATGCTTAGATTTAACTCGCCCCGGCTTCGTCCGTCCGTCGAAGGTTTATATGTATAATACCGTACTTGTATTATACATATAAACCTTCCTCTTGAATCACTCTATCTATTAAAAAAAACCGCTTCAAAATCCGTTGCGTAGTTTTAAAGATTTAAGCATACATAGGGACGGACAGACAGCGACAGCGACTTTGTTTTATACTATGTAATGATATCATTGTTATAATTTGTAATTGAAAGCGAATATATCGCGTTTTCTTCAGTGGGACAAGTGCGTTATATATTTTGATATTGCTGGAATTTCTGAAGGAATTGTAACCATTGCCGAGAAGGTAAGTTTAATATTTTATTGTTACTGTACGGATCAGTTACGACCCATCCTTGGTTATTATTATCAATTCTCATATTATATGAGTAAAATTTAATATAGAAACTATATTATACTAGGTTTTCCCGCGGCTTCGCTCGCGATAATTTATCCCCTTAGGGGTAGAATTTATCAAAATCCTTTCTTAGGGGATGCTTACGTCATAGTAGCTTTATGCAGGCAAAGTCTTAGCCCGATTGGTTTAAAATTGACAAAGTTTCATACAAACTTTCATCCCCTATTTTATCCCCTTGGGGGCAGGATTAATCAAAATCCTTTCTTAGCGGATGCTTACGTCATAACATCTCAAAATTCATCACATGCCAAATTTCAGCCCGATCCGTCCAGTGGTTTGGGCTGTGCGTTGATAGATCACTATGTCAGTCACCTTTGAGTTATTTATATTTAGATATTTCGAAATATATTACATAATATAATTTAAGTAATTCACAATAAATAAATATGATATATATACATAACTTAATTATACAACAAAGAACCTAAAATTAGAAACCTTAAAAAATATAATGTAATAACTAAAATATATTATTAAAAGGAGTCCCTTTAGGCAAGGTTCCGAAGATACTGGCAGCGTTCCCTCTTTGAATTGCTAGACTAATTCTTTGTCCAAGGTAGTTAGCTAGAAACACATACTAATGTATATGTTTACAAAGAAAATTAAATAATTATAAAAAAACCAACCTAGAGATTATTCAACGAAATAATAAACAGTTTAACTTTAACTAGATGTATTAATCATTAGTTTACCAATTACTCGAGTTAACATTAACAATAAACGAATATGCATAATTGTGAAACGTTTTAATTTAACTCCGGTTTAAATCAATTTTCCACACCACGGAGATGAATGAAGACGTAAATCCTATTGTAAACTTAATTCTATTCAGTAATCACCGTCTATTGAGGATGCTGTAACGCGGGTTTGTGTAATTTAAATTAATTGTAAACGTCTAGTCGGTGATCGTACAAGCTATGCTTAAACTAGTTGTATACTGTGGATATGCCCGCGTGACATATCCGGCTCGAAGGACCATAAACTGTAGAGTCTTGGAATATACTTGCTAACTGTACATTTGTATAATTTAAATTACATATCATTACATAGTATAAAACAAAGTCGCTGTCGCTGTCTGTCCGTCCCTATGTATGCTTAAATCTTTAAAACTACGCAACGGATTTTGAAGCGATTTTTTTTAACAGATAGAGTGATTCAAGAGGAAGGTTTATATATATAATACACGTAAAACCGTGCGAAGCCGGGGCGAGTAGCTAGTATAATATAAAGATTGAAAATATAATAGTTGGCTTATGAGTCAGTCTCGGTGGCGAGATTTGAAGTGGGATCAGTTCCATGATACTCGCACCGCCCTCGCACCGCACCATAACGTAACTCTTTATTGAGCATTGCAAAAATAAATTTACTTGAGGTAGAATAAAAAGTCGTCTGCATGAGTATCTCAGACTAACTTACTTCCGCCGCCAAACAGCTTGTTTTATAAACATTTTTTTTTCTCCTTTTAAAATTCATTCTGAGTAAGTAAAAGCAAAGGATTTGCAATTTATTTTGAAACAAAATATAGGTGTAGTTATTTACTGATGATATCATTCAAATTAAAAAATCATTAATTCATGTTGGACATTTTAGCCGCTTATGAACGTCAAGTTATTTACATTATAATTTTAATTTTTTCCCTATCGTCCAGTTCGGTGTATAGATCCAATTGAGAAGAACTGACAAGAAACTCAGCTCGTATTCTTTTCAAATAAACGTTGTACTTGTTTACAATATTACACACTCATTTAAATTCAGATTTGGGAGAATATACAAATACTCAGTACAAATAAACGTCACCCTCTTTTCTCATAAGTCGGTTCCAAGTAAGCCACAGCATCCTCAATATTCGGATTTACGTCAAACATTTGTAAAGTTCCAGCTACACGCTGATTTCCCTGCGGTATGCGACATTGTGATCAAGCATCCAATCGACCGCGTTTTGTTAATCCCTCGACGGAAATTCTTCTATCACATTTTAGATACTTTGCTGGCTATGATAATAATAATAATAAAATAGTACAGTGCAGTCCGAAAATTTCTCGAAATCGATGAAAATGATATAACACCAGTCACGCCAGGCACACAATAAGTACACACACACTCACGCATACATACACGCGCACACACATACACACACTCTGCACTTACTTGGTTTCGGCCCGTAAGTGTGGAGAATAATAAAGAATAATAATAATAATAAAATAGTAAGAAAATTTCTTTTTTCATCACATAACTCATCCATGCTTGAATAAGGCGCGTGTTTGAATATATTACCCCCGTAAAAAGGGCGATATAATATATATATATAATAATAATAATTACAGCTTCACTCACTTACTTTCATACTTCTCCAGAAAGCTGTAATTCTAAACACGTGTAGAATAGTCCGCAAATTTTTGTCATCATAATCATTTCTTTTATAATTGTCTATGTTTGGTGATATTCACCCGCAATGACGAGTTTAACACCCCATCAAAGAGAGATATATAATATTATTTTATTTCCTTTTTGTAATTATTTGTTTCTTTTATGCACAATAACGAGTTTTATTATTATTTTTATCAAAAAATTCTCATCTGCTGTGCTTCTGCCGGGGGTATGTTGCCATCTCCTCTCCTTAAGACCCCTCTTAAGGAGAGGAGAAGCACAGTCGGCCGGGGTTCAGGGCCCCAGGGAGAGCAACCGGCGCGGCGTACAATGCGGACAGAATCTAAGAGCACCGCTTTCTGCATCTTTCCCGGGAGTGAGCCGCCTTATTATTATTATTATTATTGTATATTATTGTGTATTACTTACTAGTGTGTATTCACTTAGAACAATATTTATTTAAAAGAGCAAGATGTAATTTTTTTGTTAGTTCTTGTTATGAGTTATTTCTTAGTTATAGTTCTTGTTATATACATTTGTTATTCGGAATAAGTCATGGACAATTCACACCGCGCCATCTAGTCCCAGCTAAGAGGGGGGGGGGAAGGGAATTGTTAGTAATGTGCACTGATGATCTTATTGCTAGCAATGTACCATGTCAGGTCGACCTCCACGCGGTTCCCCCTGGAAACCATCGTGATAAATTCCCAGTGAATTTGTCACGTTGGGCTAACTGATCTGACTTCATGTTTATGTTATCATCCTCCACTGGTGCCCGCCAGCGTAAACCGTTAGCGCAGGCGAATGCACCATTACATTATCATCCTTAAAAAAAAAGTCCCAGCTAAGTAGAGCATGTGTTATGGGTACTAAATAACTGATATAAATATTTTTTTTGTAAATACATACATAATATAAACAGGTTATAAACCCAGATCGATACAATCAATCGTATCATCATGAATACAAATGATTGCACCGTGCGAGGAATCGAATTCGCGATCATCGAAAGTAAAGCGATACACTAAACCGCTAGACCATCGGGGCTGTCAGATATTTATTGTACAAATTTG